AATTTGAAATGTAATACAATTTTATTTACATGTCTTTTATCATATATTCAGTGGTGGTGGTTGGCAGGAAGGATCCTTACGCTCCTCCTGGATGCAACTTGGGCAGATCACATCACTGTTCTAATCACTCTCTGATAAAAAACATTTTCAGTCTTATTAAATCAAAAACAGTGTCAATCTGATCATTAAAATTCACAGTCCCAGGTAATAATCAAATCTCAGAACTTGTTTTGTGTTAAACCTTCTTGGCTTCCCCCACTGCCAGGGGCCAGGATTTGCAACGCGGGAGCAGAAGCAAGGTCAGCTTCAGCTCATTCTCTGCTCATGAGTCCCCTAGCTTACTAACAGAGCTGTTGCCCCTCCTGGGTTGAGCCCAGGGAGAGGGGATGAGGGGAACAGATCAAAGTCTGGTATGGGAAGTGCTGTTGCTATCTGATGTTGGGAGGGGGGCCTGGGTAGCAGCTATTGAAGGATAGGCTTTCTCTAGTTGATGTTTTCATGGATTCCTTGAAGATTCCTGTTCCCGGAGTCGCTTCACCTGCAATTTCTTGTCTCTTACTTGGATGGTCAGCTTCCCGTTGCTTCTTGCTGAGATCCCATTGCCTTCTTAATGGGACCTAATGGGTAGATGACCCATACCTGGTCCACATGCATGCTTTCCTTGTCTCACCTTTTATGGGTGCTCAATTGCTTCCCCAATACAGCCCTCTATGCTCCCTCGGAAGCCCTGGTGGCACAGTGATTAAGAGCTCTACTGCTAAGAAAAGGGTCGGCAATTTGAATCCACCACCAGCTCCTTGGAAACCCTATCGGGCAGTTCTACTCTCTCCTATAGGGTGGCTATGAGTCAGAAACGACTTGACAGCAATGGGTTTGGTTTTGTTTGTATGTTCTCTGTATGAGGCATTGATGGTTCAGTGATAGAATTCACACCTTGCACGCGAAAGACCCAGGTTTGGTTACCAGCCAATGCACCTCATGTACAGCCACCACCCATCTGTCAGCGGAAGCTTGCTTGTTGCTACGTTGCGGAACAACTTTCAGCAGAGCTTCCAGACTAAGACAGATTAGGAAGTGAGGCCTGGTGATCTACTTCTGGAAATCAGCCATCGAAAACCCTATGGATCACAGAGGTCTGATCTGCAACCAATCATGGAGATGGTGCAGGACTAGGCAGCATTTCATTCCGTTGTGCATGCATGAGGTTGGCATGAATTGGGGGCTGACTGGATGGAAGTTAACAACAACAACATGCTGTCACTACCTGCCAAGTTCACGTAACCTTTTTTAGAAATGCATCAGTCACTTAGACTTCCAACTACAGGAAGATATGTGGAGGTAAAAAAGTCGACTCACCTCACACCCACATCCTTCTTGGGTTCCCATTATGGCAACAGCTTTTTTTTAAAATACTCTCTCTTTCCATTGTCCACACGCTTCCCCCTTTTGATATGTTTGACCTTATTAAGGTGTTCGGTGGTTTTGGAACTGGTTAGTAAAGCTTTCTTTTGTAAACTTTGCATATGGTGATCTCTTTCAAACTCACTTTGGTATCTAATATCTATTATTCTGGCCCATCAGTTGCAGGTGAGTCATAAAGAATCCTATTTTAACATCCTCTACAAGCAATTATTTGCAGCAGCCACTCCCCAGCTGAAAAATACCTGTTCTTTCTTCCAATCCACACACTTTATACAGCCCCAATAAGGTTCCAGGTTGGCTATCAGCAAAGAGGTCTGTGAACAGGTGTGGACAAGAGGAAATCAGGATAGAGCCCTTATATTCTTGTCTGTTGCCCTCTGCTTGGGTATACTTTAAACATTTAAGCACCTGAGTTCAAACACTATTCTAGGTCCTGATTGTGAAAAAGTAAGTAAATATAAGTGGACACTGCCTTCAGGGATCGCCCATACTAATGTGAGAACAAACAGGTACACAAATAATTAACCAGTTGCTGTTGAGTCAGCTCCAACTCATGGTGACCCCATGAGTGTCATAGTAGAACTGCACTCCATAGAGTTTTCAAAGGCTGTGACATTTTGGAAGTAGACTTCCAGGACTTTTTTCCAATGCATCCCTGGGTGGACTTGAACTGCCAATTTTTCAGTTGGCACTGAGCGAGCTCATCAACCATTTCCACCACCCAGGGACTCCACACAAATAATACAAAGGAGTAAATCAGAAAACAGAAGGAAGAAAGCAAGGGAGGGAAGAAGAGAGGGAGGAAGCTAACAAGGGAGAGGGGGAGGCAAGCAGGGAGGAGTGGAGGTGTTGAGTATGAGCTAAATTTAAAACTACCAAGTTTTGGCTTTTGGAACCCTGGTACAGTGAAACCTGTGAGAGCTGGAACTCAAAGGGACCAGCTTGTTTTTCTGGGTCTCATAAGTTTTCCCCCTTTGATAGGTCTTACCACTTTTCTATCACTGATTTTAGTGGAAATTTCTTGAGTTTTCCTTCTCTGATTGGTATCCACCTTACACATGTTTCAGCTTTCACAGGTTTTAGTCTACATAAGACCCTTTATGAATAGGAGACACCTAGCTCTCTCCATGTTAAGCATAGGAAACAGGACTTAAGATGGTGCCCATAACATTCTCTAGAAAAGCAATGAACTTTTTTTCTTTCCGCAAAAAAAGGAGCGTGTATGTTGAAACCCTTGGCTTCAGAAGCAAAAGGCAACCTTGATCACTGCAATTTTTCTATCAAATACTCCAACAGACTTCTTTTCCCCTCTCAACTGCAGGAGGAAACAAACTAACAAATCAATGCTTCCATCTAAACTGGGCTTGGATGTCTTTGGAGAAACAATACTACGTTGTGGATGAAGACGCCACATTCTTGGAAGTGAGTCTCACACGCAGAGGAAACCTTGCAGAAACATCCTTTATCAGTAAGAAAATTTGAATTGGTTGTTGGCAGAAGGCAATGGAAAAATGAAATTTAGGCTTAAAAATAATTTTGAAAGAACATTGGAAAAGAATCAATAACTGGTTTGAGGGCACTGCTAGAAAGGTATGTGTGAAATTGTGCTATGATTTTTGCTCCATGTGAATTATAGGCTTGTACATCCATCAGATTTTTATCCTCTTTTTCCTGTTTACCCCTTTGTGGCAAGTTATATTCTTCCTCTTTTTTAATTGTAATTTAAGGGAGTTCAGGATAACTAAGGCGTCCTGTAGCCATATATCACAATCCCTAGTCACTCAGTTACTTTCAAAATGGTTTTTAACTATATAATACAAAGTTATGTTTAGTTCTAGCTATTTCTTTTGAAAAATTCTTTATGAGTACATTATGCATTATTCTGTTTAGTTCTAGCTATTTCTTTTGATTATGCATAATTGTTTTAACTCTGCTATTAGGTTAGAAATTCCTTGAGGACATGTGCAATGTCAAATTTTTCTATGTTCTACAAAGACCTAGTACAGAATTATGCCTCCTTGGGGTAAACAGATAAGTAAAGCCTACATAATACATCTCATTATCATCATTAATAATTAACAACAATTACTCTAATAATGCATCACATTTCTATAACATCTTTCTTTAGCTGCCAGAATTTTCAGAAATAATTTTGACTAATTTTCACAGCCTGCTAAGGAGACAGACGGGTGTGTATCTTTCTTTTTACAAATGAGCATTCTGAGTTTCTCCTACTCAGAGTCCTGCAGACATACCAAAATTGAGAAAGGAAATGGGCTGGGGAGAGAATAGGCAATAAAAAAAAAAAAAAAGCCTTATTTCCCAGTCTCCTCTCTGGATTCCAGGCTTCTCCAAGATTCCAGGCTTCTCCAGCCTTCTCCAGCACCAGATAGGACTGGTCTCATAGGAGAAGAGGTCGGTCAAAGAGCACCCTGATGTCTGGGTGGCTCTCAGCCTCAATCTTCACCCCATGTTACTTTATCAACACACCACGAAACTTGCTGCCAGAAACTTCAGGTGAAACATGCTTCCTTTCTCTTATGGAGTTCTGCCTCCACAATTCTTTATCTTGGGGCCTTCTTGTGGGCACAAGATTTGGGTTATTATGTCAAGACCTATTTGCATATCCGGACTCAGGAAAAATACCATATATTTGCCCAGAACAATTTGAAGGTTTGTTAACTAAACCTCTCTGGGCAACCTTCCTCAGCCACCCGATCTGAGCGAGCACCTCTCCACACTATCCTGTGCCCTGCTTTATGTTCTTCATAGCACTTAGCATCCCCTGACATGCATCATATGTCTACTTGCCCACCGTCTTCCCTATAGATTTCCAGCTCCTTAAGGGCAGGAGTTAGGTCCTTGGTTATGCCCATTGCCGAGAATAGTATGGTGCATATGGTAGTCACCCAATATTGGTTATTGAGAGAACTACAATCATCCTTTGTGATCTATAAAACACCACTTAAAACCAAGTCAAAACCACGGAAGTGAATCTTCAAAACCATGGAAGTGCATCTCCAAAACATTTTGCTTGCGTTCAAGAAGGCCTTCCTGTACCCTCATCCCACCTCACACTGTGTTTAGTAACCAAAGCACATAATCTAGAAGAAACAGAATAACAAAAACCATGGGGTTTGAATTCCTGCTCTGCTACTTACTCATTTTTGTGACATTTGAAAGAGCCTTAGTTTCCTTATCTGTAAAGTAGCCACCTCAAGATTTCTTTGTGGATTAGCAAATATAATAATGGTTGTAAATCAACATAGCATATCCCTGGCACACAGTAGGTGCTCAATAGATGTTAACTACCATTATTATTCCATAGAATTCATCACATGGAATTGAAATCACCTGTTTATCTGTTTATCTTCCTAGTGGTAAAAACCAAAAAAATCCATTGCTGTCAAGTCGATTCTGACTCATAGCTACCCTATAAGACAGACTAGAACTGTCCCATAAGGTGTCCGAGGAGCAGGGCTGATGGATTTGAACTGCTGACCTTTTGATTAGCAGCCTTAACTCTTAACCACTGCGCAACCGGGGCTCTTTTCATCAACAATGGAAACCACTGAAAAAGAATATTCCTTCAGTCACTTAGCTTTATATTCATAGTTCTCTGATATTTTTCAGACATTGGAACAAAAGATGAAACAGCAGAAAAAGTTAAAGATTTTAAACGAAAGTCCTGGAAATTGGTCCAGTTCAATCCTGGACGGACTACAGCTACATGGAGGGTGAGAATTATATCTGACAATGAATACGAGGCTTCAGAGACCTTCCAGATCATTTTGTCGGACCCTGTCATGGCTGCACTGGAGTTTCCAGAAACAGCAACAGTTGAAATTGTTGGCCCTGGAGACAGTAAGTGGTACCTATTGATAAGCTCTTAGCCAGTATGACTACCTTGGTGCATTTCAGCCATTCATATCTCCCTCGGGCTCTGTAAACCACTGGACAGGTTCATATCCACTTAGGATTTAAAGATAAGTAAATTACTTCAAGGCACTAATTTTTTCATTTGTTTTTAAGTTTTAAAAGGAATGCAGGAGATTGAAATAGAGAGGATCTTTACACAGCATTCCTTTAACATATATTCAAATCCTCATTGTAAGTTTTCTGTACTCCTTAGATATGGAGCAGCTTTGCCCCCAGATAGCTAGTCTTATTCCAGGCTCAGTCCAGTCCCACCATCTTCTCACAATCTTCTGGGATTCCCTGCAGCCACCCCTCCAGGTGGTGACCTAGATGGGGCTGCTGGGAACCAGTCAACTCGTTAGTTTTAGCATGTGTTCCACAAAGTTCTGTTACAGTGGTACATCATATTCTTGACTTCATTGATTTATTTTACTCATTCATTCATTCAGCAAATATCTTACCAGAGAAATTAAAAAGAAAAACTACTCTAACCAGTAAACATGCTATTTCCAACCTCTTGATGTGAAAGTATATTCCCTTGACTAATGGACCACAATTACCATGGCCTCCACCAGACTGAGTCCAGCACAACAAGATGGTGCCCGGCTACAACCAGTGACTGCTCTGAAAGGGATCACAATAGAGGGTCCCGGACAGAGCTGGAGAAAAATGTAGAATGAAATTCTAACTCAACAAAAAAAAGATCAGATTTACTGGCCTGACAGACTGGAGAAACCCCAAGAGTATGGCCCCCGGACACCCTTTTAGCTCAGTAATGAAGTCACTCCCGAGGTTCACTCTTCAGCCAAAGATTAGACAGGACGATAAAACAAAACAAGACTTAAGGAGCACACCATCCCAGTGGCAAGGACTAGAAGGCAGGAAGGGACAGGAAAGCCAATAATAGGGAACCCAGCATTAAGAAGGGAGAGTGTTGACATGTCGTGGGGTTGTTAACCAATGTCATAGAACGATATGTATACTAACTGTTTAATGAGAAGCTAGTTTGTTCTGTAAACCTTCATCTAAAGTACAATTTAAAAAAAAGAATATTCCCTAAATGGGGGCTTAACTATTCATCTTTTAATTTTAATTAGACACACTGGTTATCATAATAACTGAAATAATTCATGTCACACCTGGAGGTACCTGATTTTCACCAAAGAGTAGGTCTTAGTTCAATTCCACAAGAATCAATAAAGATGTCTCTATATTGCTATGTCCCAGACTGTGTAACAGAGAAAGTTAGTATAATAGAATTTCTACAGGGGGTGGAAAGCTTTGCATGGTCAAATAAGTCTAGGAACCGTTTCAAACTCTATCCCCCTTTTGAAGCATCGTAATTCACACTGATTTATTAAGGATTCTGAGAAACTCGGCTATACAGACAACTGCTTAACTTTGTTTAGCCCAGTTTTCCTAAACCAGACCCTTTTTTTTTTTTTTTGTCACCCGCAAGGACACAAGGAGTACCCTTTAAAGACTCTCAGAGTTCTAATTTTCTTGAGACACAATTTGAGAAATGCAGCTCTCCATGCTCTGCACTTTGGCTGTACAAAAGAAGTAGGAAACCCTGCCCCCACCACCCACGGAACAAGGTATCTGAACAATTTTATTGGTAACAAAGCTTAGACACATGAATCTGTTAGGATGTGGTAAGAGTTACAAGGTAAGGAAGTGGCCAGATCAACATGGCTCCAAGCAATTAAACTTCCTGGAGGAGGCAGGGTTTGAGCTGAGTCTGGAAAAGTAAATGCGACTTTGGCTAGTAGCATGAATAGGACAAGGCTTTCCAGAATGGGAAAAGAGAGGAAGTGATTAAATAACTCAATCCTGTTGTAGTGGTGTTTTCACCTGACATTAATAACTTTAATTTGCTTTCAGCTTCTGTGGTGGTAAATTTTTGGACTGAGAGATGTCAAGGTAGTAGACTACCATAGGGTGTAAAATCAAGGAAAGAAAATTATCTCAGGCCTGTTTCCCTGTAACTGGAAACCACTGTTTTCCTAAAGGTTGATACCAGTTACTATTGAAACTAATTTAGCCAGGAAAGTAAAGAAGAAACAAAAATTAATATATAATAGCTAGGTAATCTAACATTAAATTCTGGATTATCACTTTACAATATTTTCAAGATCCAAAAGAAGAAAGTATGATCACCTATAATATTTTTCCTTCTTGCTTGCATTGCCAGGAGGAAGAATCTATTGTATATATACTATGAGGAAAAAAAATGAGGCAACGGAATGTGATTTGAACCAGATAGTTACTTCAATTCATCATCTGAATCTATGAGAAGAAACAACGTACTTCAGAGATTTATTTTTTAAACAAACACATATGTTTTAATTATGCAATGCATGCTTACTGAAAAATACTTAGAAAACCCAAAGAAAAACAGTATGCATAATTCCATCACCAAGAGATAACCAATATTCATATTCATAGTTTGATGCATGTTTTGCTGATTTACAACACAGTAAATCTCAGCAGGAATATTATTTTTACAGTTGAGGGAAGGTCCGGTATTTTATTTTTCTCAGCATATTAAAGTGGTCAGTGTAGTGTCTTATGCACAGTGTCTGCTCAATAAATGTTGAATAAAACGTTTGTTTAATTGATAATTCTGCCATTTTCATTTCATTTTCTGAAAGTCAGGGTTGGCTCATGAAAAGTTGTTAAACAACATGCTAAATGTGAAATGTCAACCCCCACTCTAAACTTTCCCTGTTCAGAGCATCAAAGGAAGACTTCATTGGGTTTTATAGTGGCTTTCTGATTTTGGTAGTCCGTCAAAGAAGGGAGTTTGAAAGTTGCTGTACGCTGTTAATGATTGTCTGCCCGTGTCCTACCTGAAATACCAAGATCGTTTATGAAAAGCAACTTTAATAATGTTAGGTACAGTTTGGAAAAAAAAAAAAAAAGAAGGATAAACCCTTAGCCATAGAGTCGATTCTGACTTATAGTGACCGTATAGGCAGAGTAGGACTGCCCCCATAGGGTTTCCAAGGAGCAGTTGGTGGATTTGAACTGCTGACCTTTTGGTTAGCAGCCTGAGCTCTTAACCACTGCACCACCAGGGCTCCATTGTTAAGTACAGTGAATAAACTACATGCATCTATTTCTACTAAAATGACAGTAAAAGTGGGGGGAAAGGATAAGGACAAAGAGATGGGGCAGAGTAGGCAATAGAAGTCAACAAAATAGTGGAAACTAGAAAGTACATGGAGTGATAAATGACCCAGCAGAGAGCATAGAAAGCTTAAATCCGAGCACTTGAAAAGAAACAGGCCGAATAGAATCAAACATTTATCCTGCAAAGAAAAAATGTATATATACATTTTCTACATATATGAATTAAATTACCTGCTTGTTAGAAGCACTAAACAGATAAACATTAAAAAAAAAAAAGAAGAAGAAGAAGAAGAGGGGGTAGAAATATGTGATCTGTATTGCAAAGACATAAAATTTGACCTAAAAAAAAAAAAAAAAAAAGACACAGAATTGCTGCAAAATTTTCCTTTCCATTTTAATACTGGATATCTTTTCAACCTTTCAAAGGGGTCAACCCAATTCCATTGCCTCTTCAATTCAACAGAATAATAAATATTTCTCATTCCCACTAAATTTAATATAGTTAAGTATGTTTAAAAAATGTAGAAGTCAAAAGATTATATACATTTCTGCTCAGGTATATTAAAAATATCACCAATCAAATTTAAATCTTGCTGAGAAGTCTTCTATCCTCTTTTTCTAGAATCAACAGTTTATATTCCAGGGGCAGAATACAAAATAGAGGAGGATGTTGGGGAGGTTTTGATTCCTGTGAGACGGTCTGGAGATGCAAGCCAGGAACTAATGGTCATTTGCTCTTCACATCAAGGTATGAGGGCTTGTGGGATCCTTCCATCCAGGAATAAGGTTATCAGTACAGACTGGTTGTGTTGGGAGCAGCATGGGTGGTGAGCAAGGCACTGGGTGAGGACATTGGAGACCTGGGCTATTTACCGTCTAGGCCCTGCTGCTCGCCTCCCTGGCAGCCCTGTGCAGGTGCCCTAACTCCTCCCAGCTGCTTTCCTCAATCAGGGATAACATTTTACTCAAA